GTAAGAGCACTGACAGCAAACACATCAGGAAGGGATTCCAACATGTCATCTTCACCCATTATGCAACTGGGAGTATCCACCACCTCAGGGATAGGTAGTACCTGTTCTCCAGCAAGATCATTCCCCATTATAAATTCAACCCCCCGAACAGGAAATGAATCTCTCACCGCAACCTTGAAAAATCCAGAGGCCAACTTGGACTTTAGGTAAACATGATGCAAAGGTGCCGGCACGTAGGCCATTCCAATTCCTTGTACTATTGTACTTGCATTACAGGAGGTATCAGCATTGAATGGCAGAAAGCTGGACAGGATAAATGACTGGGAACCACCAGTGTCCCTCAGTATCCTCACCGGTTTCTCATCCTCAGAACGTCCTGTTAGGGAGACAAGACCATCAAAAATGAAGGGTTTAAAACAATCATCAGGTTCACTCATGTTTGACAGTTGTGGGGTGGTCCTCAGAGTCTTAACCAGGCTAACCCCTTTAGCTGGTTGGGGTGCCTGCTTACGTTTCAGGGCCAAACAATCAGAAACAATATGCCCCATTTTATGACAATAAAAACACTGTCTCTCCGATTTGGAAATTGAAGAGTTCTTAACCCTAGATTGTGGTACATCCTTCCACGTCTTGTCACGAGAGGGTTGGTCAGGTTTAAAAACAAAAACATTTTTGTGAGTAAGGGCAAATTCTTCAGCCAGGACAGCTGCCTCTTGTAAGGTTGAGGCTTTCTGTTCATTTAAGTACAAAACTGTACGATCTGGAAGGCAGTTTTTGTACTCTTCCAATAATATCAACTCACGTAGTGAAGAAAAATCAGTAACTTTAGTTGCCTGGCACCATCTGTCAAATAACATTCCCTTCTCCCTTGCAAATTCAACAAATGTTTGTGCACTGGATTTTCTTAAGGATCTGAAACGCTGCCTGTATGCCTCAGGCACCAGCTCATATGCCCTGAGTATGGCAGCTTTAACTTTGTCATACACAAGACTGTCTTCAATTGTTAGTGCTGCACATACTTCCTGTGCCTTACCACTGAGTTTGCACTGCAACAAAAGGGACCAAACTTCTGTGGGCCAATGGAGGGCAACAGCAATACGTTCAAACGCATTAAAATATGCCTCCACCTCCGTCTCCCGGAATGGTGGGACCAGGGCAATATTTTTGCTGATGTCAAACGTGAAAGGTGATGAAGGGGAAGAAGGTTTATCTGGGGAAAGAACGCCGTCATCTTCATCCCCACCAGAATCCGTAGTGAGTACAGTGGTCAGTTTATGAGACTGTAGCTCCAGCTGACGCATTTTTATGGCAGTTTCAGCTTCAATTCTTCTGCACTTAAGCTGGAACTCAAATTCATCCTTCCGTTCCCTTTCCTTAGCTTCAAGTTCTAGCCGCACCAGACGTACCTTTAGACGTGCCTCAACACTAGGATTTGGGGACTCCATAGAGAAAGGCTCAAACCGTGGGAGAGAGGCTGGTGGTTTTTCCAACTCTGGCTTGGCAGCAACAGGAGGTGTCTTCACTCCCTCCTCAGCACAAACCTCAAACTGTTCAGCAGTTTCAGAAGAGCTGGCCTCCTCCTTATCCATTCTCACTGGGAGTACTCCTTTCTCAACCAAGCCACTGAAGACAAGAGATTTCAGTTCACGTTTAAGCAAAGACTTAGAGACACAGATACCAAAATGTGAAGCAATTTCATATAAATCATCTTTTCTACAGACATCAAAATATTGTATGGTAGGGTTACCCAAAAACTCCTCCAAACTAAACTGTGCCATGTTCAAAAAGTAAATCAAATCCCGGACAAGCCCCCACTTATGTTACAACCCCCCACCCTTAAGAACACTAAAGGGTAAATTCTGCCACTGGGTGTAACACAAAAGTCAGTAAACTAAAAGATGATGTCAGCAGGAAAATATGATTTATTTACAATTTGCAGGGGTCACAAAAAAAAACAAACAGCAAAACAGGGAAGCTTAAAGCCTCAGGGTCTCCAAGGCCAAAACAACAAACAAACCCCCCCCCCTTACTTATAAAACAAAACACTTTCTAACATAGAAAATGAAAAGGACATACAATACCTGGACTCCCTGGCTAACCACAAAACAAGGAGAAAACAGTTCAACAAAAATGGCAGAGAACCCCTACCAGCTTCCACTGTGAACAGAAAAACAAAACTTTAGTCAATCAATTGTTTAACATGAACACACACAGAGACATTCAGCTCATGAACAAGATCACTTCAGATCAAGGCCCAGTGAATAAGAGAAGGGGGCCTGACATCTCAGGATTGAAGCTCTTTATGAGGTGGCTGACGAGCTTCAACGCATTGCACCTGTAACAGCCAGGGAGACCTGAAACACAAACAGAGAGCTCTCTAATGAAGAGAGCTCCTAGAGGTCAGTGACCGTAACACCTATTAAAAGAAATTGTCATTTAAACAGGCATGACCCACTCTTAATCTGATGATTATTATTTCTTCCCTTCTGTTTATCTCATTAATGTTTTTTTATTTAATACTGATTTTTGTACCTTATATAATCCTCTTCCTTTCTTATCTTCATTCCACCTCTTTTGTCATTTTTCCATTTCTTAACTCTTAATAAGTGATTTTTCTTCCCCTTTCCTAAAAGGAATTCTAATCTTTATTGTTCACTCTAAAGCCCTTTTTGCTGATATATCTGCATTTTCACTGCCTTTTCCACCTTCATGTGCTGGAACCCAACATAACCAAATATCAATGTCACCCCTATATAATCTAAATAGACTGTTCTGGATTTCTAATACTTAATCTTTTCTACCATTTCTTTCTCCCTGAATAATTTCTAAAACTGCTTTGGAATCTGCACAGACCACCACCCTGCTTGCTCTAACCTCCTCTTCCCATTGTAAGCTTAGTATAACTTTTCTATTATGGCTGATCGCAAGCAACTTTAAGGTGCATACCGCTGCCTACTACACATGAGTTTATAGCAACATGGACTATTGAAAATGACATGGAAAATGTTTTCCTTACTGATAAATGTTGATGTTTCCTTCACTTGTTCTACATATTTTCCCTCCACATCCCTCACATTTATCAGTATTTTTCCAACCAGTTAAATATAGAATGTCATTTATATAGGTGTCACCTACCCACAATCTGGTCATTACTATTTCTTCCCTTCTCACTAATATTTTTAACGAATACTGATTTTTGTATGCGATACAAACACCTTCCTTTCTCATCTTCATCCCACCTTTTAACCCATATTTCTGTTTCTTTCCTCTTTTTAACATTTATATTTTCCTTCCCCTTTTCCAAATTAAATCATTAGTGTTATTGCCCGATCTAAAGCCCTTTAAGCTCATTTGTCTACAGTTTTATTACCTTTAACTCCTTCATGTGCTGTTACCCAACAGAATCAAATATCTATACCACCCCTGAATAATCTAAACAAACTGTTATGCATTTCTCATAGTAAATCATGCCTATTATTTGCTTTTTTCCTGAATACTTTCTAAACACAAAACCATCCCTTCTGTGACTGTCACCATTTCAACTGTAAAGGGGATGGATCATGAGACAGACGTTTAGAGATTTACATTTTGAATTCTGGTATATATATTCATATTCCCTCACATCCTTTTTTTATTCTTAGAAACATCTGAATATATTTTAATTTGACTGATAAATGACTTTTATTGGTAGGCTATGTAAGCCTGGTACTTTGTCTTCTTCTTATTTAACCGGTTTGGCAAGAAAAATTTTGGAACACCACCGGCACCTTTTGGAATATGAACAATAGATTAACAGAAAGAAAACAAAAAAGTTAAACTAGATTCTCTCCTAATACCTTTATATATATATATATATATATATATATATATATATATATATATATATATATATATATATATATATATATAACACAATGTAGCTCATTTAAATTAGCGCATTTGTGAACTGTCTCATTTCTAGTTCATGTATTGTGGATTGAGAGATGGGGTAAGAAAGCTTAACACAGTAGTTGGATTCAGCTGACAGCACTGTGTCTGTGTGCTCTGCTATGACTGAGTTAGTGAGATGTGGAGCTAAGGTAAGGTTGACCAAAACACTGTCCACCCCCTCCCTATGCATCTACCAATCAGTGGCTACTTTCACTAAGGGCAGCTTCACCCCTCCTTGCCCATGCCTGTTTAATACGGAGGACCAACTCTGCCATATTTAAAAATAAATACAGAAATAAATAAATGCTCAATAAATAAACAAGAATACAATTAATTGCCACCAAAAATACAATAAACAAAAAAATGCAAGTAGAAATTAAATTATACAGTGAGACATAAATGTATATAACTCTCTTAATTAGCTTCTTTATTTATTTGCCTTTGTAATATTTACCTTATTTTTTTTATCCTTTATAATCTTCATCTTTATTTTCTAATTACTTATATTTTTAGGTATTTATTTGTGTGCATGTTAAAATATTTTTGTCTGTTTTATTCTTCCTTTGTATTTTTTTTTACCCCAGTTATTTCTTCGCCGCTATTTATTTCTGTCTGCCCTTTTTACATTTTTGTATGCATTTCTGTCTCATTATGCAAATATTGAGTGGGTGTGTCCTAGAGAGTCAACTTCTGCTCATTGGTTGGCGGTCCATCTTCTTAACTCACAGAGCTCAGAGTATTAAGTTAAATGTTCTCTTTTCTGTTGCTGTTGTTCAATAAAAGTACGTTTTAAGATTATTTGAGGCGAGAACATTATACTTTTAAGCATCACCATATGGCCCATTCACAGAGTTAATGCGTAATTTAAAAGAAAATGTTCCGAACTTGAGAGGACCGCGGCAACCAGCGGAGCTCCGAGGCTAACAGCAGCCAGGTCTAAGTGCTAAATCTACTGATGCACGTGTTATTCTCACTATAGAGTCATGTCTGGTTACTTAGTCAGGCTAAATGCATCCTGCAAAAAAGAAACTGAATAATAAATAGCATTAATTAAAAAAAAAAACATACAATGAGGTGATAAATGCTTTAATGCTGTGATCCACAAATAACTTGTGCACAAAAAAAAGGTTCTGTATCAGAACACTTGACATGTTTCATATATGTAGTAATAACTTTGATTAAAAAAATAATCAAGAACAACTTAAGAGTCATAATGTTTTTAAAGGTCTGGCCTGCAAATCATCCTGCAGCAAACCCCTTTAGAAGGATCCTCTTCCTTATCAGTTCATTTTTATTCCAGCAAAAAAAAGCATAATTTGAATTTGTAAACACTGTTAACAATTAATTATTTCTCATTGAAAAAATAAATTCATGGCAGTAAAGCCAAAATAATTAAGACTTAAGAACCACTGAATTAAAAACAGATTTAAGGCACTTTAGTTCTCTTTTACATCATTCTGTTAGATCATATAGGTTATAATATAGTTAAGTTCGAATAGCACAGTGGGATCAATTATTATTAAAAAAATTATTTAAAAAAATAATTCTAAAAAAAACAAAACAATTATGTTAGCATAAATCCCATTATATGAGGCTATTTTTGGCAGCGAAAACAAATGCCGCTCCTTCAGAAATTGACCTAATTTATTTGCACCAGGTTATCACTCCTTTTTTCCCTCCCCCTCTGAAATGATGTACTCTGGAGGAGCCCTATTGAAAAATTCCCCCCAGGATCCATCATAGAGACCAACCCCAGAATACCCAAGCCTGTAAGCTGCAAGAATCACATGACAAGCAGTGACTCCAGAACCACAGGAAGCCCACAGAGGCTTCTTTAGATCCACTCCGGCCTCCTTGAAGAGCTGGGCCAGGGTCTCAGGGCCGTGGTGCTTTCCAGTCGAATCCAGGAAAGAGGTAAAAGGCATGTTTATGGTTTCGGGGAAATGCCCGGGAAGGACATCTGAGAAGGAAACATAGATGGGATTTTTTTTTATTGCAGATATTCAGAAAAAAACACATAATTTTATCCATAAATAAACTTTCCCATTGGGTCCGACAAGAGGATTAGGAAGCTGGCCTAGATTAGTTTCATCAACATTAGCACATATTGAAAGGTTTCCAGTTTCTAAAGGGTTAAATAGTTCCTTCATAATATCCACAGCTCACATGTCCTGAGACCCAGATCCATCAGTACAATTCAAAGAAATTCACTAAAGTCCGCCCCCTCAAAGCCCTCATTGGTCAGTTTGTTCATGTGAAAGTGTATGATTGGTTACCCTAATGTTTTCTGTTTCATAACAGTTCTCCTAAAAGACATTTTTTTTGCAACTTTTATAAAGGCAGGAAAATGACAAATATGTTGATCTATTAAAAATATCGTCTTCTCAATGTTTATTTTGAGTCCAAACCAAAAAAGGCCCAAGTCCTTCTTTCTGAAAAGATTTAGCAAACGTTTGATCCAGAAGAGTTCCTTTATCTCCAGTGGATGGATCTCATAATACTGTGAGATTGTAGAAAAGTGAGGAAATTCTAAAACTGTTGATTTTGCTAATAAAAATGTTGTTGTTTTTTTTTTTACCAGCAGGAGTCTAAGATCCATTAGTGGGGTTTAATTTTCAATAATTTGCAAAAGATCCAAGAGTTTACAGACAGACTCTGAACCTAGGGATTCAGCCTAGAATCAATATTTACACCTCAGAAAAACCTGACACCTGATAATTGTTTTTATTATCCAGAATACTTTCACTTTTGATTTATTGTTGTTCTCATGTTTGTGTTGTAAGCGACCATATAAATGGGAGAGGTGGAAGCAAATAGCTGATAAATCAGTTTATAAAGTAACAAACATAATAAAGACATCGGTATCTTAGCTTTTAACGGGATGTAAACACTGGTAAACATTAGAAAAATCTCTGTCTAAACTGATAAGTAGGTCAGCTTAATTACCATGAACTTGACCTGCATCCTGAAACCCACAGGTGCAAAGCTAGATGGGGGGCCAGGGGTGGCCATGGCAACGCCTACCAGGTGATTTGTTGTTCCTTTGTACTTAATTCTGAGGGTGGCAACAGTAATACTCTAAAGTGGAAACACCTTAAAAATTTACATTATTCACATCAACACACCAACATTAGAGATAACTAACACAGATTGAATGCTCTGTTTAAAAACTGTTTATGTGGTTTTGGGTGGAAGAAGGGAAAGCTATGCATCTCTACAGTAATATAGGAGTCTTCTATGTAAATGAAAACAAAGAACAGCCCCACCATTTTTAATTTGTATATAACACATAAGCATAGATGTTTACATGTTATAGATAAAAGTTCCCAGCTCTTGCCAACTTGATGTCTGGTCCGCTAACAATAACATAAAGCTTTAATTGCTTGTCTAGAAAGAAAGCAGCTACCTCTGAGAGGCTTCTGAGCCCCTTTGCTCCTCTAAGTTGGCACCAATTCCCAAACCTTGGCTGTTAATACCCTTGTTTTGCTTCTTTTATTTATTTTTTATTTTTTGCTTAAATCTGAAAAATAGAACAGAAGAAACTGTTTCTCAGCTCTTTCACAGAGCTACTAGGATGCCTGAGCTCTATGTCACATGACTTCAACCTTGTATTCCTATTGGTGGAAATTTTTAGTGTTGATATTGGCCTCATAGGTAAATATTTACATATATGTCAGATCCCTAAAAATTCATAACGGTTATTACAAGGAAAATTTATCTTTTTATTCTACATCAATCATTCTATGGATGATTTAATTAGAAAAATTAAACCTTTTAATGAAAAAGATTATTTTGGGGCACAGGTATAGGCCTATGTGCAGATTTTTTGGCAAGGCCTTCATGGCAATCTATGCTGTCTTCAGTAATATATTTGAAAAAACTGTTTTTTCTTTTTTGTGCTTGTTGATTTTCCTGTTTGCTTCCCCTCAGTGCCAATAAAAACCTCCTGGCCAATGGCGTAACTATCAGTAAGCAGAGACTGCATTAGCTTAGGGGGGGCCCCCAACCTCTTAGGCCCCGTCCACATGAAGTCAAAACGAACACGAAACACTAATATTTTCCAGAACGTTTGTTGTAAAGACGGAGTCGTAAAATAAATGTGATCGTCCACACGAATGCATGAAAACGCTGCAAAATGTATGCCAGGCCTGTAAGTGGCGCTGTGGTGCCAAAGCAAAAATAGGCGACGAAATGTTGGGCATGTGCACTAATATTTATACATGGTTGCCCTGCGGGTCCATTTTCGTGGTTCAGTCAAATTCAGGTGCTGAACTATGTGGTCGATATTGCTCTGTTCTTCCTGGAGATATTCCAGAAGAAGAAGATTCTGTTGTAAGCCCGACAGCAGGGTGAGTAGCATGAGCAGCAACCATTCAACACAGTACGGCGCCATTGTTGTTGTGATACTGTGTCGCGCATGCGTGTTTAGAGGCGACGCTATGACGCATGCGTGTAAGAAAAAAAATGCGGTTAGAGCTTAAAGATGGAAACGCGAAAACGGCGTTTCAAAATCTTCCCACTCTGAAGGCTTGATAAAAAAAAAGATCGTTTACAGACCCCCGAAACGCCGGGTTCGTATGGATGAGAGGCTGGTTTGGTGAAAAATTTGTGCGTTTAGGCCAGGGTTCGGAGCCATCATGATCACCGCAATTGTGGACTAGGACGTCTCTTTGCAGATGTAATGGTGCAAAAATTTCTCTTACCACTTGCTACTTTGCTTGTTGACTGGAACGTATTTATACCCCAACACATGCCAGATTTCTGCATAATGGTGAGCCGTTTAAACATGACACCAATAGCAAAGCAGACAGTGGTACTTTTAATTACTATGTTAATAACTGTGTAGTTCATTAGACGGTTGGTAAAAAATTAAGTCATATAATGTGTTTCAAACTGCAATAAAGATGTTAAAAGAACGAAGTATTTTGAGTATTTCATTTTTTGAATACCGCTTGGAATTATGGGTAATCCACAGCGTTTTGTACTTCATATGTCGTTATGTCATTGCTCCTGCTTGTGCCACTGGTTCTCTTATTTTACTCACCTTCTCTTGGTTCTGGTTCGGTTCCCTGGAACCTGCCAGCAGACCTGGAGTCCACCACCTGGACCTTCTTGGTCTTGATGTTCTCCATCACATCTTCAAAGCTCTTCACCCAGGACTGATTGAGCTCCGCCTGGAAGTCTCTGCGCTCCGGCTTGCTGCAGTCGGAGGTCACCGGGTGACCCTCAGCCAGCCAGTTCTTCAACCCTCCGTCAAGCACCGACACCGAGCCGTGCCCGAACACCCGGAACATCCACCACAGACGAGGCGCGGTGTAGGAGCCGAAGTCGCTGGTGTCGTAGACTACAACGTGGGTGTCGTTCCCGATGCCGAGGTCTCCCACATACCGGGAGAAGTCGCTGGAGGTCGGCAGCATGTGGTCATACTGGGAGCTCTTATCGCAGCAGTCATCTATGTCGAAAAACAAGGCTCCGGGGATGTGCTTCTGGTTGAACTCCTCTTTAGCGACCCGGTTGGTTTTCGGTAGATACCAGGAGCTGTCCAGGATGCGGAGTTTAGGACCTACGAGTTTGCTTATAACAGCTTTAGCTAGCCACTGAGCGGAGACCACAGGCGTAACTGGAGCCGCCATGATGGACAGGTCAAAACAGGAGCTGTCTGTGCAGATAAGGGGCAGCAGGCCCCGCCCCCACGTTTACCCAACTACTACAAAAAAGAAAAAACATAGGTACAATGCAAAAACTATTTATTCAACTTTTGGTTAAAATACACGAGCTGCATATTTAGTAAAGTATGGGTTCGACTTAAGATAGAAAAAATAATTTCAATACCCTGGTGGAGATTCTCAGTCATCCAGGTCATAGTCATTCAAAAAAAGTAAAAAAAAAAAAATCCATTGGACTTTGTTTCCAAGTTTAAAGAGGATTCACTTCCCTTCCAGGAAGCTTTTTCAGTTCAAAGTGTCTGTATAAAGCCTTAACCCTTTATAGGACAAGTTGCTGTTTTTGATCATTTCCCTACCCCTTACAAATGGACCCCCCCCCCCCCCCCCCACAGTGAAATCTAGAAACACAAGATCTATATCCAGCCATTCTGCTAAGATGCTGCTACATGGCTATACATTGGCATTCAACCAATTAGATGAGCCCTTGAATGATATATTACCTCCTGTAAATTAACTAAAAAAAGATAAATCAAGAAAAAAAGCTAATTGAAAAGTAAAAAAGTAAATAATAATCATAGTTAACAATTATATTTAGGTTTATAAACTAAAATTATTGCCTCTAAGGTTATGTTGTACCAAAAAAATGTGTTTATTTCTCTCTCAGGGTGCTTTTCATGGATTTCTTTTTGAAGCACTTTGTTATTTTTTTTAATATATTCAGGTTATTTCATTGATATTAATTTTTGCCATCAAAATATCCATATTTTTTTAATGTCATAAAGGTAATAAAGTCTTGTCCTGGATTCCAATAACACTATTGACTTGAAATGTTGAGTGCCCTATAAAGGGTTAAAATTAACACTATTTCTGACATTTTGTATTGAAAAAGATTCCTGGATGGGAAGTGAAACGTCTTCAAACTTGGAAACAAAGTCCAGTGAATTGTTTTTTAAACTTTTTTTGGAATCGTTTCAATACATTTCAAACACAACATTTTACCAAAGTTAGAATCATGAAAAAGTCTATTATGTAATAACATCCTTCAGTACGCTATAACAGTTATATAAATACACCTTTTACTTGGATTTCTGTAGAACCAGGGTTGATGTTTAAAAAAAAAAGACACTTCTTTAGCTTCAATATCGTTTATGTCTCTAAATTAGGTACAATATCCTTCATTAGGATGCAAAAACAATATATTATGAACATTAGCCAGAATAAAGAAAATTATCCAAGAAAAGTCTGCAATTGATTCTGTTTGATGCAGTGCTGTAATTCTCTTTTATGTATTTAAAGTATACGTTTCATTATTCTTTTTTTATGGAGACATTTATTCACCTTTGTTGCTACTATTTAAAACAACATGGATCAGAATTTCCAACTAAAGATAAACTAAATATTTTATATAAGCCTGGAAAAATGTAATTTATATAAATAATAGAGGGAATAAATAAAAGAGGGGCTTGCACCATCTTTGTTATTAGTTGCCGCTGTCAGGTAGCAACAGCCTATGGCGACAACCGGCCACTGTGACAGCAAATCCCATAAAAAAGGTGAGTTTCATTGACTGTCTGAAACCATAGCTCACCACTCATATACGCCTGAAAGTGCGCATGTACAGAAAAATATAGCTAACGGGACGAGCACTTAGGACAGCCTTATGAAAACATATCACCAGAATGATTGATTTATGGGGACACCTTATTAAGGTGATCCATCCGGTAATAAATGATTGTCCTCTATACCTTTAAGTTTGCATCTCATTTGGTAATCAGGGTCCTGGAGGAGATAGAAGAGGAATGGTGAGACAGATGCATGAAGAGCCCAGTCTTCTCTGTTGTTGGTCCTCCATGTTTTAAAAAGTCTGCAGAGAATACAGCCATCTACTGGGACGGTTTACAGCACTCCATGTCTTCTACTGCTGATAAGCTTTATGGAGATGATAAATTAGATTTTACAATGGGCTTTGCCACCCGCAATCACCGCCAAAGGTACCAACAGATGGTTCAATGACCATGGTGTTACTGTGTTTAATTGGCCAGCGAACTATCCTGACCTGAATCCCATAGATAATATATATAGTATTGTTAAGAGGAAGAGGAGAAGACACCAAACCCTAAGATTCACATTTAACGCTATCAATGCAACCTGAGCTTCCATTATAGAGCAGTACCACTGGCTGATGTCCTCCACCTCAAAGCTTTTACTTTTTTTGTTTTTTTTATATGATCCAAGTTTGGAGCATATCAGCTTTCTGTGGAATTTTCTGTGGAAAAGTTAGGGGGCGCTAATGAAGCTCTGCAAAGCAGGGATTGTATGTTCTGCTCCTGGTGCTCCAGTTCAATACCAGAAGCTGGTTTATCACAGAGCAGATGGTGTCTCCCATTACAGTCGATCACAGACATGAAGAAATAAGCCAATCCAGTCCTTTCTTTGGGGATTTTAACAGTGCAAACTTTTCACATGAACTACCAAAACTACAAAGACCATGTCAAGTATCACCTGGATGGACGATCTTTAAGGAGAGCTCCATGTGTAGCTTTCAGACTCTCTTATTACTCTGCTTCATTTCATTCCAATTTAGAGGGAAAATAAAATAAAAAAAACAGAAAACTTCTTAGCTAATCGTTAGGACTTTTAAGAAACTGTCTAATTGGTCGAAGAAGTAGTTAGAAGGTGGACCGCACCCCCAGCTAACATAACTCGTTTACAAGTCAAACAGGTCTGCAAAAACAAACCGACACAACAGCAGCTTCTTCCCCCAGGCTGTTTCTCTGATGAACCTAATGAACTTCTAATCCATCAATAATATTGCCCAATTAAAGCTGATTTAGGTTCCTTTTTTGTGATCCACTCTTACCTTTTCCTTTTCCCCATCCTTAAACTTCAAAGAACAGGAACTGCTCACCTTAGAACTTTTTTTTTTACTTAATTATTTTTAGGAACATTGCCTCTGTTCCAATCCAGCTTAACAGGATTTTTAGCAGTCAGGAAAACTAGCAGATCAGGCTGATAGAAAGCTAGAATTGAATTATTTTGTTTTCCAACTCAAATTAGTCCAATTTAATACAAAAAATCAACATAAACTTTATACAAAGAAGTTTTCATCTATGATTTTTTTAAAAGTTTCTACCGAATTTGCTTATTTTTATACATTTTGAAATTCTTCCACCTCTTCAATAAACATACCATCATTGCATGAAGAGATAACATTTTATTTTTAATCACTTCAGAATCAAAGTTGAATCATACATCACTATATGTGAGCTTTTATCAAGTAGTGTAATATTCTTCCTTTCCATGACACTCGATTAAATGGAAACAGAACAGATTATATGTATAGAAAACTTATCCCAAATCCACTTTATTCCTTCTTCCCCTTCCCCTCAGAAATGATCAAATCTGGAGAGGCCCTTTTGAACCATTCAACCCAGGCGCCATCATAGAGAAAAAGATCAGCGCGCCCCAGTCGGTCGGCAGCCAGAAGAATGTGGCACGCAGTGACTCCGGAACCACATGAGGCCCAGATGGGCTTCTCCAGGTCCACTCCAGCATCTTTAAAGAGCTTGGTCAGAGCCTCAGTGTTGTGATGCTTTCCAGAAGAATCCAGGAAAGTTGTGTAGGGCATGTTGATCGCTCCGGGAAAATGTCCAGACTGTATATCTGAGAGGAGGAAATACAGGAATTTGAAGAAAAATGTCAGTGATCCTGTTATGTTTTTAATTGCACTTAACAGCACTTTTAATTACCTATTTTTTGTCGAAAACTCTTAATCACCATTGCATTTGTGATACTTTTGCAAAGCATCCTGATAGCAAAAGGAATCAGGGCGGTACATTTTATTGCACTGTCATGGTGATGTTAACGTTTTTTTTGCAGAAACTATGCGTGATTGTGTGAGAGGAAGCCTTATCTCCAATCAGAAAACAATCTGCTCAGGCTTTAATCAGCTCTCAGGATCGCTGAGCTATAATGACTAGGATTTTTTTTTTTTCTAAATTCAATGAAAAAAAAAATGCTGATTTCTGAATTAATCTGAAATGTTTTGTTTGCCTGATGAGTAAAACAATCCGATAATCTTAAGATGCAAACCCAAAAGATTAACCTGATTCTTCCTTTTCAGTTAGAACTCCTATTTTGTAGAATAATTATTGTCTCCTTTAACTAGTTTCCATTTTTTATGGTGTAAACAAAGACCCACATAATCTTACGTGGATTTAACCTGTTTGCAATAAATAGTATAATGTTACACGTTTTGCAGCAACTCTCCTAATTTTACACATATTAGTGTTTAAGTCCTTAAAGAGAGCTGAAATATATCCCAAATCTTCCCTAAAAAAAACTAGCTACAAAATGCATGCAGGCTCATCTCCAGTTGTTACACTAATAACTTCTACTCATCTTCACTGATTAGTTTTATCGGCAGTTATTTCATTTATCTTTATTGTTTTAATCAAACTGATTTGCTTTACAACCCCTCGGTGCAATAAATAAAGTTGAGCTGTTCAAACACTACATCACTCATTGTGAACATTGTTTACATGTTTTTTTAAGAACGCTGCAGCTCATCGCTTCATTTTATTGCATGATGTTATTATCTTAGATAACCTTGTTATATGATCACACGTTAAAGAACTTTCGACCCACAGTGACACTCTTGACGCATCCTGCTTAAATAAATTTAAATCTTCTGCAATCCAAAACGTGCATGTCGGCTGTATATGGATTGATTGGATGGTAAATGGGCCTTCCAATAGGAGTCCCTGTATGGATGCTGCTTTGATTTATAAGATAGAGTCCCTATCAGGGAAACCATAGAACTGTCAGTTTAAATCACAGAAGCTTTTAGTTGATCCAAAGACATGCAAAAGTAGCTTCAGTCATCAGACATTTATTCTAAGCACTAAAAATAAAGCAAAACAGTAAATTCCACATTGTTAAATATGCATTGTCAAAGTACATTGACTCTTTTAGAGTTATTACAACAACTGAAGTACAATATACTCTACGTAGAGTTCTAATTGAACACTAATTTCGAGTGGGACCAAATGCGCTCTTAAAGTGTTACTTTAACACTGCAAAATAGCAGAAATACCTACGATTAGCAAGCTATTTTTTCTGTTTTTAGGTGACTCACAAAAAGTTTTAACCCCAACTGTCCTCATTTTATACTAAATATAACATTTTAGTATAAAATTTAGCAAAAGCAAGAAAAATAGTGAATTATATTTTTGTAATTTTTCCTTAGACTAATTTTTTTGCCAATATCCTCCAGTATTTGGGCCCCTGAAGTGAATATAATAGTAATACTGATATAGATCTATTGCATAGGGTTGTTATTGTAATTAAATTATGTTTTATTTTTTTGTGGCCGTGGTTTTATTTTACTCACCTTCTCTGGGTTCCGGGTCAGTTCCTCTGAACCTGCCAGCAGACCTTGCATCCACCACCTGGACCTTCTTGGTCTTGATGTTCTCCATCACATCTTCAAAGCTCTTCACCCAGGACTGATTGAGCTCCGCCTGGAAGTCTCTCCGCTCCGGCTTGCTGCAGTCGGAGGTCACCGGGTGACCCTCAGCCAGCCAGTTCTTCAACCCTCCGTCCAGCACCGACACCGAGCCGTGCCCGAACACCCGGAACATCCACCACACTCTGGGGGCGCTGAACGAACCCATGTCGCTGGTGTCGTAGACGATAACATGGGTGTCGTTCCCGATGCCGAGGTCTCCCACATACCGGGAGAAGTCGCTGGAGGTCGGCAGCATGTGGTCATACTGGGAGCTCTTATCGCAGCAGTCATCTATGTCGAAAAACGAGGCTCCGGGGATGTGCTTCTGGTTGAACTCCTCTCTGGTGTTCCGCTTGCTCTTCGGTAGGTACCAGGAGCCGTCCAGGATGCGGAGTTTAGGGCCGATAAGTTTGCTTTTGATGGCGTCAGCGAGCCACTGAGCGGAGACCACCGCGCGGAGAGGAGCAGCCATGACGGAGAGGGAGCAGCTGAAGTCTGGGGAGCGAACAGCCCTGATACCGGAACAACCCGCTGGCAGTTAGACTTGTTTGGCTCGCCCTGATCTTTATCCAGCCAGTTAACGCCTCCATTCTTAAAAACTATTTAGTTAAAATTTTTAACGATGATTAAATTTGTATTTTTTAATAGTCAAAATCTAAACTGATGATTCTGACCAGTATTTTTTAAACATTGTATTAACTTATATATACCGTATATATATATAAAAATATCTACACTAGAGAAGTTGTGCATTTGAATTAAAAAAACATATTTTTAATCCATAAATGCACAAATATTCAACTTTTATGAAATACTTTGACATAAACTCTACTTTTAAATTCCTTCTCTTTTTAGAGATTGGTTGGTTTATAAGTTCATATATGACATATGCTCTACTCCTGGAATAATAAACATATTTAATTATTTATTCTGAACAATAATAACATTTTGCTCAATATTTATGATTTGTTTCTTTAATTCTTCTTTTAACCAACTGCGGAAAATATTTTAAGAGCCAAAAAAAAAAATGTAGTCTGTGGTGCAGTTACACCTTAAAGCCAGTTGGTGGCAGCGTTTGCCATGAAATGCATATATATTTTTTTCTCTCTCTATTACACTGAATAGAATAGAAAATCCCTTCATTGTCCAAAATGGGGAAAATCTGGTGTTTACAGCAGCAAAAAGATTATAGAACAAAAAAGATAAAAATGATGGATATGATCAATAATTTGCCCCCACGTGTATTCATCTTGTTTTGCCATCCTTATAGGCCAATGTTTTGTTTTGTCTTTTTATTCAAAGAAATGTTAGTTTCAAGCAAAGATAATTTTGAGTAAATCAGAGGAGGCAGTTTTAGTAGATAATTTTAAAATCAATGTAAACCAAGCTGAGTCTTTGTGGAAAAGGTAAATTCCATAAAATAAAACTAGAATTAAATGAATATATTGAAAATTTAATACAAAGACTTCGAATAGAAAACTTTGAACATAGCAATAAGTCAGGAAGTTTCTTAGCTAATCAGCTAAAAATAAACAAAGAAAAAAACGACTATATTTGCAGTTACAGACTCAATTGGTAATACGTTACAGGATCCGGAGGGTATTAACAACGCCTTCCGAGATTTGTATAAATCTTTATACACATCACAGTTAAATCCATCAGATTATGACATCAAGCAATTTCTGGATAAAATAACTCTTCCTAAATTATCAGATAGTCAAAGAGCGACCCTGGACTCACCGCTGTCAACAGTTGAAGTTCAGGAAGCATTAAAAAAGAATGCCAAATAATAAAGCGCAAGGTCCAGATGGGTTCCCTACTGAGTTCTATAAAGAGTTCTGGCACCAACGTTCAATATTCCTGCAGGAGTTGTCAGCTTACAAAATGAAAAAAAGTAAAACACTACAGCCCTAACCTGTCTCAGTTTAGGTCAGTATTCATGATTGAGGCTAGACCTTAAAATCCCCAAAGAGTTTTGCCAAAATATTCCAGAGAATAATGAGATTAAATCTAGATGTGATGTTTTCTCTATGATGTCAAACTAAGCCAGCAGCTGAGAAGCATCTATATAATACTGACACCATACCTGAAATAGTTTTTTACCTTAGGAACTACTTGCCTCATGTATTTAGGGAACATGTATTCTGCATGTATGTCCAACCATTAGTCTGTGATTTTAGGCTAAAGAATAGGAGAGAAAACCTGGCACTGCATGACCCATCAATGTATGTAGCGTGCTGTTATGCATTTGAATTTTGGTCAGTTGGTGGCAGTGTTTGATAAAGAAAAAAATAAAAGCTATTTCTAATAATCACGTTTCTCTGAAGTAATTTTATTCCTATAGTAACATGATTTATAAGAGCCTTAGCCTAGAAATCATGGATATCTTAATAAACCATAACCAATTAAGAGATAAATGAAATACAAACAACCAGACATTTTATCACAGTATGCATATAAAGGGACTTTTAACAAACAAAATGGCTTCTTTTTAAGGCTTAACAAGCAAAGATGCTGTCAAAGTTAAGATACATTCGAAATCCGGAATAACACAAGTTATCTGGAGTCCATTTTTGGTCCATTTGTGTTAAATCCTCTTTGAAATATTTCACACAATTTTCACATAGGTCTTTGTCTATAGATAGAAGGTTAATAGAGCTGCAGAAAGGAATATACACCTTCTTTGCTGCAATATTGAAATAATTTTCTACTGAAATTAATTTAGAATGACTTTCACAATAATAATAGTATGTGTAATAATAGTATTACACATCCTGTACAACACATCCTTAGCTTGACATATGAATGAAGCAGCATTGTGGTCAGAGTCAATTTGAAGCTGGACTGAGCCAAATGTTTGGACAATCTAAGAATAAAACCTTCTGCAAAATACTTTTAGATTGTGACTGAGATTCACTTTCAAGTAGAAAATAGGCCCTAAATGTAGACCCATTATTAAAAGTAAATAATTTAGATCAAAGCAAACTTGTGTTATAATGGCCCAGTCAAAGTCCAGATCTAAATTGAATAGAATATAATATACTTTATTGTTCCCTAGGGGAAATTTGTCATGGACCCAAGTGCACAGTCCACAGTAGTAGCTCCCATTAGATACAATAAATACACATAAAAACAAATACCAACTAAAAACACACATAGGCTGCATACATACTCATACAAATACACTTGCTGCAACCAGACACTACAATGTGACACTACAACACAATAACTTGTGCAATGTATAATGCGCAATTTACTATTTGATACCAGATGCAATAACCTGCTTCTCCATATTTAACACCCATTGCAATAACTATATATATAAGTATAAATGTCCATCTATATAAATACCCATGTCAACACCCTGTTCAATAACCCTGTATAATGATCCCACTATAAAAAAATAAAAAACATTCATATGTGGACGCACTGTATATACTGTATATATATATATATATCCCATGCACCTTTTTCTCCCAGTGATACATTCTAAATTTATTCGCTGGGAGATCAATAAAGTCAATCAAAGAATTAAAAATAAATAAAAAAAAGGCAATAGTTTTTAATCGTTATAAAGGATTTCGAACGGGTCCAGCAGTACTCTGATTACAAACTGCTTATAGATGGACTGAAGGGAGATCATTTCAATCGTCCATATCACCTTCATAGCAATCTGTCCCAGGCCCTGCAACTTTGATTTAGCCTGTGTGGAGAGACGGCTGAACCATCCCAAACCTGAATAAAATACATCCTTTGCTGTAAACGGAAACATAGTCAATATGATCACCGCATCTTAAAAGGTTAATATACCTAGATACCTATATGAGGTCACCTATTTGATGACCTCCATGTTAATGAACAGTGCAATATGATCCCCTACTGACCGAGGGTCAAATGCATTCTCCATTATCTTAGTGTTGATTGTGAGGTAGTTCTTGTCACACCACTAGCCATAGAATCTGAACTTTAGCTTGCTTTGATCCAGTTGAACTTTCAGAGTTAGCAAAACTATTGTCCTCATCAAAGCCTTCAACTTGTATGTTGGATCCATTACCAACCAGGTTATTTAAAGAAGTATTCCATTTGATCTTGTCCTTCATTTTAGAAGTGATTAATCTCTCCCTGTTACAGGGATATGTACCAAAGGCTTTTAAGGTTGCTGTTATTCAACTTTTACTTTAGAAACCGTCTCTTGACCCAGTTGACCTGGTCAATTATAGACCTATATCCAGTCTTCCTTTCTTATCTAAACTTCTTGAGAAAACAGTTGCTTAACTAGTATGTGACTACTTACACCATAATTAACTTTTTGAAGAGTTTTAATTTGGTTTTAGAGCTTATCAGCGCAGAAACAGAGTGAACAAAGTGACCTGAAACAATCAAAAGTTTATATGAATTCTCTAAATCAAAGTTTGCTGCCCAACAGCAATGATGAAATGCACGGCAGCATTCTATATCCAGCAGTCTGGTTAAGAATGCTAAAAACCTTCTTAGTTTCATCAACTAAATTCGACTTAAACTATCACACATCGTAATAACTAAAATGTGATTAAGACTTATAATAGTTTTCATCCTGAAGACTGAGACTAAGATTGCTTTCAAAAATAAGTGTGGTTGCCTGGAAGACTACTGGTGCAGTTGTTTGTGTAAAGGGTGAACAGAACCACTGAGCTTTCATAACCCTGATTCATTTGGATTCTAAAATTGAGTCATTAATCTTGACATTTCAGGTTCTATTCGTTAAAAAAGAATAAAACTACTTAATAATAAAATGATTAGAATTCATCTGAGTCATTTTCTGTAAGAGCAGACAAGGTCGTAATGAGTCAGAACTAAAATCAATGAACAAAAGGCATAAACTTGCGAATCTTTGTGCAATACAATTGCTGTTGTCAGACCTCCTTCCAGTCTGACTCAACTTTACTTTCCAAACAAGAGGGCATAGAAATTTTAATAGATGTGCAAAGCTGGTGGTGACATGATGACCTAAATGATTTGTTGCTGCAACTGCAGGAAAAGAAAGGGCATTGCATGTTTTTATTTGGTAAGAAAATACAGAAACCTTATATATTTTCTTTTACACATTTAAAGATTATGCTATGCCAAATAAAATCCAGATGAAACACAACAAAGGATGTGGTTGTATAGGAGCAAAACATAAATGATTTCAAAGGGGGCTAAGCTAGCTTGATTTGTTGAAAAAAAGAGAGACTCTAAAGTTTTTAAGACATGTAAAGTTAGAAATAAAAGCTAAAGGCTATATCTAATCAGAGAGCCACCATGTAGTCTGTAAAAAAAAAAGACACAATTCCTCTGTGCTTGTGGGGGTGCACAAAGTCTGCAGGTGCAGCTGAGCTGGGCCTGCTTACACAACACATTATCTTTTTTCTTCTACCATCTGTCACTAGTGCATTTAGCAGAATGCTATATTAAAATCATTACCAATGGTAATAAAGTCATGGTAGCTTGATGGCTTGTCATTAGTTACTTCAAGAAAGGAAGAAGGAACAGCCACAAGAATTATAGGAATCATTACCCAAT